CTCCTGCAGCTACCCAGCGACTGCTCCAGCCCAGTCCAGCCCAGCCTCCTGCAAACACCGTGCCCTCACACAGGCACGGACTCACTGCGGCTTCTGCAGCACGGGCACAAGCATCTAGTCCATGTGCCCACTGGGCAGGAGGGACAATCCCCAGCTTTCCCCAGCCTGTGTAGAAGTCATGTCATGGAGATTAAAGAGCCTTGAGCAATGGGTAAAAGCAACCAATGATGATCAATTGCACAATGAAAGGAATGAAGCATTTTAATGGACTTTAACAAAAAAGGAAATTTTAAAAACCACCCTGTATCTGTTTAAAATTACAATAGAAAAAAAGTATAATGAATGTTCCTATTTTCACAAAAGGGTATATTCTCTTACTGTAAACTCTTGGCAGACCGAAAGCACTAGTCTACAGGATAATAACCATACATTTAAGCTATCACTTCCCAATTATACACAAATTAATAATTCAGTGCCACAGGGAAAACAAGCCCCATCATACATCATTCTTACAGCAGCTAATTGGGCATGGAGTGGGCCAGCTCTGGTGGTAAATGGTAAATAATGCATATAGCATATCAGACTTTGCATGTAGACAGACAAGTTCATTTTCTTCCTACTAAAGGACTTTTAAAGAAGCAAACCATTTATCTCAACACTAACATGAAAGACTGCCTTCACTCATATACCTGTCATTACATATGTCCATCATACAGAAAATATTTATTAACAATCATTGTGTTTCAAGATGTGTGTGTGCACATGTGCACGTGTATATATGCATACATATGTGTATACAGTCACACAGAGAACCTTATAATTCAAATAAAATTCACTGCGAATACACAGATATTGAAGCCTCAAAGCTTCCATGAATAACATACATGTAAAGTTTTCTGAGAGACCAATACGGGGTTGCCTCTGTATCAAAGGCTTCTCAATCACATGCCATTTATTTGCAGGTTTTAGAAAAATTCAATGCAATTCATTGGCAATGTCCAACTGCTTTTTAATGTAAAACTGAAGCCACTCACTACTGTAAAGTTAGAGAGTGGAACCAGATGCAGAGGGGGGGGTTTATTTGGTTGGTTTGGGGTTGTTTGGGTTTTTTTGTAAAAACAAAACAAAATATTGAGCTGTTCTTAGGAGCCTTTGAGTTTAAAACATGAAAGAAGATACTCTGTTTTTCTCCTTCCCCACAGGTAAAAAACCCCATACACATCTAAGCAATTCTTGAGCTAGTGCAGTGTGTTGCTCTTGCCATAGCACAACTGCTCCTGAGCTACAATCATTCACTCACAGCTCCACAGAAGACTTGGCATGAATAGAAGATAATTCATACTTCAGAGCCTGAAAACTGAACAAACTTACTATATAGAAAAACACTTTCTTTTTTCTTAAGGCAGTTAGGAAAATGATTAAAAGTAACCCTGACAAAAAATTGCATATTGATGTTGAGGTGTAATGACTTAAACGCTCTCTACTTTTTCTGCAGTTCTAATAACACACTTAGATATTCAACCGTTTCCTACTCTCCCCTACGTATAGAAGAGGGAAAGAAATCCCTTACATGTTTTCCTGGCTGACGCCGAATGAACTCATCAAGCCACAGCGGGATGCCGTGAGATCCAAAACTGGGCTCTCTGTAGTTGAAAAAGAAAGACTTTAGCCAACTGGAAATGACTTCTGATGGAAACTTCATGATTTTTCTTTTCCAACAGATTAATTGAAGGAAAAGTTTAACTTGATGTTTCATTCCGGTATCTATTGGCAACTGATATTCAGTGATAACTGATATGTTTGCAATTTAGGAGTAAAAGCTTTTCTCCATGCAAATATGGCATTACACATTTGGTATTGATAATGTAGAGGGATTTGGCCTGAATTCCAAATTATCTAAGGATCCAAACTCATGATACTGATTATTTTTCAAATCTCATGTTTTCTAAGACAAACTGGAGTTCACATTCCCTCATATTCTCTTGCATGTTTGAACCCTTAGAAAATAGCTGGTTTGTGTTTCAAAGGGTCTGATTTTCTAATCACACGGAGTAAAATTTTCTCCTTTGTGTTTTATTTTTATAATTCAAAATTCTCGCATAATCCACAGCCTCCAAATGCTGAGGAATTATCAGAGATGCCACAATACCAAATACCCTTGCAAGAGCTCCCCAAACCACTGTAAACCAGTGCAAGGTCAGAAAGGGCTGCACACGTGGCAGCCACCTTGTGTAACAGTCCCTTCAGGGTCCTAGTTGGCACCGAGGAACAGATTTCTAAATGCACAGGCAACTAGCAACCAGGCAAGCCTTGTGTTCCCAAAAGCACTGAGTTCTCTGACACCATGCCATGAAATGCGATAGTCCAAAACCACAACCGAGTAACCTGCATTCCCATCACCGAGCAATTGCACCATGGTGCTGCTAATGTCAACGCATGAAGTCATGCCCTGACATGGAGCATCACCACAGACAATGATCTGCACACAGAACAGCTTAAAAATCACATTCCCAGATTATTCCTGTTCTGGGTAACACCATGTGGCTGTGGGATTGGGGGAGGGGGGGGGGGGGAGAGTCAAACCATAGCCCAGGGCTCCTGCTGGCACATGCTGCCAGTCACAGGTGACAAGGGGAACAGAAGGCACTTTAGGGTGTAGAGTAAAACCACACTGGAGTGACCCTTTGGACTTCTGTCTATGGTTTTGTGTATTTATCCCAATAAAGCCAGCACTCTTCACACAAATGTAGATTTAAAGAAACCAAACACACACAAAAAAAAACCCACAACAACAAAAACTTCAACAAAGGTATTCTTTGCATAATCCACAGCTGCAGGTGACTTAGGGAGAGAGGATCTTTTCAGCAGATCCCAGTATGTTAAAGGAAAGACCATGATTAAAAATAAAATGATGACAATATTTCTGTCCAGTTGTGCTCTGGCCTGGACTGCTTGTTGAGAAGAGCAGATTGTGTAAATCTGAAGGATCACACCCACTCCCACAGCAGGAACACACTCCGCTCCTAAGTATTTGCTCCAGAAGTGGAAATTCCAAACCCAAATCATCCACTGTATTCCTCTGTAAGGCAGGCAGGAGGCATCTCAGCTCCTCCGTGTGAGGAGAGCTGGTATCTTCCTTCTCCCCCTCCTGCACTCAAGCAGCCCTCAGTTAAGAGCTGGGACCCGAAGTCAAACTTCTCCGTTGTCAGCAGTGACATCTGGCTGAGAGGACAAAACAGGATTTCACATGCTGATTCACAGCAGCTTTGGTGGCAGAGCATCCAAACAGGTAAAGAAACTAACATGATTACAGCTCTGAGCAAAAGAAAATAATTTATCAAAAGTTGAAGGAAGTTTTGCCTAATTTTGCCTTTGGTCAAAAAGACAGATACGTACATGGCAGGACTGTTTTGGTTTGGTTTTTTTTTTTGACCAGCATATAGCCCACACATGACCCTTTACTTCCAAATGAGCATTGTGAGAAGAAAAAAAAATAAATCCCTTTTAGAGCTTTATTTGGAAACACTGGATTATCCAAAGATTCAGAGAGAATCAGTTTCTGTAAGCAGGGCAAGATACTGCTCCACTCAGCAGAGCTCATTTCAACTAGCCAGAGCAGAGGGCTTTAAGATTTAAAGTAGTTTCTTTAAATCTCTATCACCTCCTGCAAAGCAGAAATTATAAACCATGTCGACACACAGCAAAGTTTAAAAAAAAAAAAATCTCACTGCAATAATTTACCTAAATATTTAAAAGAAAATATTTTTAAAATATTAAAGGTAGTTCTCATGGAGGCTGATGTAATACCAAATGAAAATAAATTAACATTTTCATTCCACTAAACAAAATGAACACAGAATCCACACACACAAAACCAGAGTTTGCATTGGAAAGACAGCTTAAAACTCTCAAGATTTAACTCAAATCATTTTTCTTTATTAAAGTATGAATGCATTTATGCTGGAGAATAGTTTGCATACATTGTAAAGCAACAAGCATATTTTCAAGAGGTGTGGGCCCTCCTCAATATGTCTCTGTGCTCAACCTACATGCTTTAACACTGGACTCACACATACACTCTTACATACAAACATATAGACCCACAAAACACAGACACAGAGCTATCTGCTTCGATTAGCTTTCTTTTAAGGCTTCTGTAAGGTGCTCTAGTGCCCTTAACATTACCATAATTACAAACAAAATTGTATAAAGGAGCAGCATTACTTGCAAACTATTGATCTGCTCTCAGCCTTAAAAAATATCAAGTGAAACAAGTTTTTCCTTTTATTTGAGTTTTATTAAACATCTGCATTTAAGAAAGGCATGACTCTGTATATCTGTGAACAAGGAAAGATATGTGAATCTTAACATCAGCTTCTCAACCAGAGCAAATGTTCAAACCTGACTTCTAAGGGACCAGCTCCTTTGATCTTTACAGTAACGCAGCCCTGGCTGTGTGACGAGGCACTACCAGCTCCATCCCATCACAGCCATTCGACCAGCAATGTGGAGACCAATAACATGGAGCTAAGGCTACCATGCTCACATCACTTCAGACCTGAGGTTGATGAGAAGTCACAGTTCAAACACGGTGAGGGACCCAAGTGTCCCTCAACCAGTGGGCCTCCCTCCTGCAGATCACATCAGGGTTAGAAAATGCACAGATAGTGGTGCTGGCTCACTGTACTCCCAGCCATCGTGGAGTATTTTTGCCCATCCCTTTTTGGTATCCTGCAGTATATAGTCTGAAACTGCAGCTACTGGTGTTGGGTGAAAGACGTGGCAGCAGGTATATTAAGAAAATAGGTACAATGAATAAAATAAAGGATAGCATATGATATAATATGTAAATACAGGCATCTTTTGTTTTTTATCTGTGAAGTGTGAACTAACTGCAGAATGTCAGGCTATTAGTCTAAAAGGCTATGTAAGGCTGTCTTAGCCTACATATGCTCCAAGGGGTTTTGGGATGCATCATGGAGAAATATTCTTCAGGAACTATTAGGGCTTTCCAGGTCTACTTGCTCTTGTGCATCAGCCCCCAGCTAGGAATGCCAGAGAAGCAACTAATAAAATTGCCTGACCAGTCTTACAAGACAAACAGGACTGACTCTACTTCATGGTATGCACCTGAACTACAGAGACAAGAAACAGACAGTAATGGGTGGGTGAGAGAGATGGGAGAGGGAGCTTTTTTCTCACTTTTACAACAGCAGCAGATTTCAATGTAACGTAATTACTTTAATGATGCATATCTGTAGGTACTGAATTGCTCTTTTGATTGAAAAAGCTGGTCAGACAAGTATTTGGCAGTCCTTTCATTCCCCAGTTTCAATTGTTGCTTATTCATCTATCAGCTCTTATTCCCTAGGCCATTTCTGCCTTTGCTGAACCGTGAATGAGTTCAGTCAGCCATCGTCAGATTCAAATTCATGAGAAACTTCCTCTGACGAGCTGTTCCTGTGGATCCGGCCATCACTTTTCATGCTGTGAAAAGTCTTCTTAAAAGCCTCCATCATGGCATGGGCCAGCTTCTTGGCCTCCAGCTTGCTTTCACACTCTACAGCATGGCAGTCCATCTGGTAGGACAAGTCATCGTTGATCTCCCGATAGACCCAAGCAAAGATGTTTGGGCTGACATTGTGGTCAGCAGTGCAGTAGGCTATACGTGCTACCTGAAAGGTATCCATGTGGACTGTCGCCTCACCTTTGAGGTCCAGATGATGCAGCCAGACTTGAAAAGGGCGAATTTCCAGAAGGGCATTAGCTGGGTAAATATCCTCCCTGGCAAGCGTGTGCTTCTTCCATAATTCAATGACTGGTTTCTCTGTGCAGCCTGACAAAAATTGCATCCCTGTTGTGGAAACCTTACCCAAATACGTAACCTGCAAAGAAGAGCAAAGATAGGTGAAACACGGACAGCAGACTCCAGGGTTGCTTTCTGCCATCCCAGAGAACTTTCCTTTATCCAGGAAATAAAAGCACCCTCCCCCCTCCAAACTCCTCAATTTCCCCATAATCTTGGTAAAACAGTTTTGAAACTGCTTTCCAGATACTTGCTTTTTCAGATGCTGACTTCACCATTGAAACCGAGATGTTAAAAATGTTCAGTCTCTGAGTTTCAAGGGATTTCACTCCCTTCAGCTCCCCTGAAAACTCAGCTTTAGAGCCCATGACTGTACCTCTAAGGTCATGTTAGCAATTTAAATGCCAGTAGAGCAGGCCCCATGTAGCTGGGATGCTAACAATTTTTTTTTCCTTTCTACCTCATTCAGATTATTTATTTGTATCATATTTCAAACGTTACTATTGGGGAGACTGAGACATTCTGTTCGATAATGCAAAGCTGCAGGGGGTCAGAAAAGCATGATCAGGGCAGAGGATTTTAAACTGTTTGAATTTTTTTTTTTTTCCAAAATGATCTTATTTTTCCACAACTTCTGCTGTTTCTACTTAAGTATTAAGCCAGGAATAGCTCAAAACTGTTCAAAACTATCTTTGAGCAGGGCTTAGACATTTATTACATCAATTTAAGAAAATATGCTGTTAAAAAAAAATCTAGTAATAAATCTACCTTAGTTTAATCACATCATATCTGTGCTTTCCTGACTAGCTCTTTTGAATAAATATCCTGTTATCCAATCTGTACAGGAAAGCAAGGTGGTTTTAGTGCCCTTACTGTATTTTGGTCACAAAAAAAAAACAAAAAAACAAATTCACTGAGAGGTCCATATGAAAATTCTGTATTAAGCCTGTGCAGAAACATTCCCCTAAATCTGTGCAGCTGCTAAAGAGGCTTTCTTCCACTTACAGCTGAATGGAAGATTATTTTATCTGGGAAAAGGGATTTTCTCTAGAAAGACAGATCAATGCCACATAAATACAATTACGCAGATTATTCTATTTATTGCTCTGGTCAGAACAGTGCATTTAAGAACAACTAAATGAAAATAAAATTGCTTCTAATTTGTCTCTTGCAGCAGTAACTGCTTGAGACAGAATCTCATGCCTCTTGCTTGATGTCTTATAACCTCATGTGCATCTTACTCAAGCTGTTTGGAGGAAAAAAGTAATCACGTGTACTTTCCAAACAAATTTCTTCAAAATTCTGTATTAAACACATAGTATCAGCTATTTTTATTTTGTATATGCTTTAAGACATGCAAAGAAAACGTATGAGATTTCCACATTTAAACACATTAAAAAAAAATCATACCCACAAGGCACACAGGATTTGTATTCCATGCAAACAAAATTTTCCACTAGAAAAATATTTTGCTGCAAGCTTCATAGGTTTTGTTAAACTCAGAGACCTAAATTAAGCCATAATTAAGGAAAAAGCTTACAAAACATTATTGGAAGTCCGTGTGGCTTAATCATGCCTGCCAAAAAAGCAATTTCATAGCCCTGACATTTCAAAATGGGAAGTCTTATTCTTTGCCTATAAATATTCATGCTTTGCACTGGGAGTATGCTAAATCTTATAAAGCTTTATATTTTTTGGAACAGTGGAAAACACAACAGCTAGAATAGTTAAGAAGGCAAGACCTACCATTGTTTTGCTTTATTTTATTTTATTAGTGATGAGAGTTGAGTTCCCTAAAGTACTGTTACACAACTTAAAAGAAAACCTCAGAGCTCATAGTGCCAACTAAACATGTACAAACAGCACATACAAGACCAAAGAGGAATGTGTCTGCAACATACTGGGGGGCATTTCAACATACATCCACTGTCATATTGCTTTGAAAAGATCAAGATCAGTGCACAAAAAATTTGCACATTCAATATATTCTCTGAAAGTTGGCTTAGCACCATTTCACATTCACAAGCCATCTAACAAGAGACTAACACGCACTGTAAATTAACTGAGCTTTTGGGGTTAGATTCAAAGCCCACTGAAGTAACAGAAGTCTTTCACTGACTTCAAAGCGATTTGCACAAAGCCTTTAAACCCTGAGGCACAGAGAATTAGCCTCTTGCTCATGTACTTTGTCACTGCCCAATACAATTTAGAATTCCCAGCCACAGGAGAGATGCTGCCACCACTGCAACACTTTGTCCCCCCAGCTGCTGTTTGGAGAAGACCAGTGTCACTTGGAGCATGCAGAAATAAGCACCTCTCCTTAGTGCACAACAGTAAATACAGGGAATTGTTTCATTATGGGCTGTCTGCAAGAGGAAGCTTGTTGACAGCACGTGGGCTGCCCTGCTGCTGAGGAATGGGAGAGGAGAGGAAAGCAAAAGCAGCTACATCCCACTTAGGAAGCATTGCTACAGGTCTTCCCAGGCAGGTAGTGCTGCTCAGCTCCATGCGGCAAATTCACCCCCAGCACACAGAGCATCAGCTCCTCAGCACGGACATGTCCCAAGTGATGCTCAGGAAACCTCCGGTGGCTGAGGAGCAAGAGCAGTGAGGGTTGTCACGCAGGAGTGTAAATTGAGTTGAATGTTCTCTCTCTTCCTTCCCTGCCACTAACTGCAACCCCCTGTTGGTAATCAATCTGTGCGTGGCCTGCCTAAGTGTGAAGTTAAAACAAACAAAAGTATTTCTTTACAAATACAGTGTTTGTATTTTGTGAAGAAACACAGTGAATTACTCTGAAAGCAGCCAAGGCAAAAGCAACTAATAAGAAGGATGAGATGATGGCTTGTTTACCAAAATGGGACATAATGGTCTGATTTACTAGTCCCAGTTCTGTCACAGTACAACTGTGTAGGAACCTTTGGAAAGTTGCTTCCTTTAACACCACTTTGCAACACCTTTATATAAATTTCATTTTCCTTTGAGGACACATTCATAAATATTTATAAGGTGTTTAGACACAGCAACAAGAAGTTCACAGGAGAGAGAATAAACAAAACCTCTGGTTTAGGGTCTCTCCTGTGCTGTGTCTTAAACAGAAACATCAACATCTACTAATGTTGTTATTTTTTGTTTCTCTTTAAACAAATTATCATTTTTTCCCTAGTTGAGATACAAGCATTTCACAAGAGTAGCATCACTGAAGCTCTTAGTGAAGACAGATGTCTAACATTTCACTGCTTCATGGTCCCCTGCTAAATACAAAACAGAGATACAGGGACTGGCGAGACATCTCAAATGTTTGACACAAAAAAGGCAGCATCCTGCTCAGAACAAAGATTTCTTCATGATTAAATATCATCTACATGTTATTCATTTCATATTAATCAATCCTGAGCTGGCCAATTTAGTGACTTAGATATTAACATTTGCATAATTGCAGAGATGGTATCAGTATGAACCAAAACTGGCAAAAGATGGATTTATAGGGCACTTCTCCCTGAGCTCTCAGTTACAAGGTTGTTCCACAAGCAATGCACCCTGCATTTCAGCTTCTACCTCATCATGTCTCACAGCACACCCACCTTCATTTAAATGCCGAGAAACCACTGACCGCACATATCATTAAAGCTATTACAGTAAAACCAGCTTCCTTTCTGATTTCCAAGTTTGCCAACCAAAGATCAAAGAACAGATTATTCCTTCCATTATCAGATGGAGAAGAAAAATTTTTTGAGGCAAAAATTCCCACTGGTGGCATTAAAATCTATAGTGTCTCATCAGTGTGAAGCCAGGAGGAAGTATGGGGGGGGGGGGAAGAAGTCATCTTTAATACTCGTAAGAACCGGATGTGAAGAGCACAGAAGGACACCATTATTATTAGTGCATGTGCAAACACACACAGAAGAAGTGCCCGAGCAAAATCAACTGTACAGCCTTATTAACTAGAGAGTAATCATTGACAAGGACCAGCAATAGCCACAGCTCTGACCACCAGCCACATAAGTTCACCAGGATTGAATAATGCTTTTCCTTCTTCTGAAACACTGAACAGAAGTCACCTGGCAGCAAACATCAGGAAGATGACTTATTTGTGACAGCAAATATAGCTGTCATATAGCAAGTGTCATCCTATACACACGGAGGCCAGTAGCTGCACTCCCTTTCCTCTAGCCTTAGTGCAAGGCAGAGTAGCCACAGGTTGGTTGTAACATCTAAATTATGGTCAAGCTGTTGTAGCCTTTACTTGTTTTGGATACTGTATTTTAAGTGTGAAAAGGAATGGAAAAGCCAGCTCAATGCTACTGTGTTAACCACAGGCAATGAAGGCATTTCATATCGTATCTTCTTCCAGGGGTAGGAATATATTTCTTTATGACACTTCCAGTCCTTTGTTTGCGTGTTCCATATTTCCCATGGATTTCTGGAAGATACAACTTGCAACAACTTCTTGTGCATGTTAAAAATTATTCACATTCTTTCCAGCCTTTCTATGGCAAACTGACATTTTCCATCTGATCCTTCACTCGCTGGCAAGCCACTGTCACCCAACATGACATAAAATACACTTGTGGTTTCAGCAGTTCTGCGCTTGCAAACATTCAAACCTTTAGCAAAAAACAAGATGCTCTGAAGAGCTCCTTATTTCACCCTAGAGACTTGCCAACACCAGTGTCAGTATCTGACAAAACTGTCCTCAACAGAAAAATGCTGTGCCTTTGCCCTTTCATAACACAGCTACAGCCGTCTGACATGTAGAGATGTCTCATCTCAAAGGACATGAAGATTAATTCATATCGCCTTTATGCGGTGTCCTGCACACACAAAAACATCTCTGTATTTTGACATTGTTGTTTTCAACCCCTTCAGTCCAGTAGTGTATAGTGAGAATATCTTTTAATAACTAGGCTCAAGAGCTTACCAACTTTGAAAAGACCAGCTGCCATAGATATTTTCACTTCCAGAGCAGCACATCTGTCAGAAGTAACAAGGGGGTTTTACTTTCCATACACAATTATCTTCCTTCTCATTGACCTCGCATTGTTTACTTGCTGTTCATATGAGATAAAGATCAGCTTAGCTCCTGCATATGTCATTCCAACTTCAGATCTGACTCCTTTGTTGGCAATAAATCCATACTGCTCCTAACTCGCAAGCCTTAGTTGGATACCTAAAATTTGGTGACCCAATTTCTTTTTCTCGCTCTGTTCCCTATCCCTGGTCCATAAACTATTGTCGCTCCAAGAAAGCAGATCCAAGTTGTAAAGATCCATAATTATTACATTACACAAGGGCAGATGCTCCCTTGGCACAGGAGTCTGGCATGGGAACACATGCGCACACAGGACTCTGGGCTTTCTCACTATTC